TATTGATTGATTTATTTACTGTATATTACTGCTGCCACACAAATCTAAAATAAACATGTGATTTATTTCCCAGCTGTTTACCTCCACAGACATAACCGACTGTTTTTGTAACTCGTGTGTTTTTAATGTAAACTTGTGTGTGAATGAGAACTTAGTTTAGTACTCACATGCTGCGACAGCCGCTTTCTGTCCGTGTGCTTCGGATGTGTGTGCTCAGAAAACCTTATATCTGAAGTTTAAACTCGTATGGTTTAAAACGCATGATTTCAGTGCGATAAACATGATAATCAGAACCAAAACAGTTGTTTTTTTAGCAGATACCAGCTGTAAAGGCAGCTCTATTCTGGAAAAGGGGGCGGGGAGCAGCAGCTCATTTGCATTTAAAGGCACAGGCCCGAAAAACAGCTGGTTTCTGCTTCCACTCAAAATAGGCATTTTCAAAATGATATAATAAATTATCTGTGGAGTATTTTGAGCTGAAACTTCACAGACACATTCTGGGGACACCAGAGACTTATAATACATATTGTAAAAAGGAGCATAATATGTCACCTTTAAGAGATAAGCTGATGCCACAAGCTTATATGAAAATGTTGGTAAAGGCTTAGACAGAAAAATGGTAACTCAAAACATGGCATAAGAACAATACGTAAACAACACGTAAAGCTTTCCACGTCGGTCAGAAATAGCCAGAAAAGAAGCTACTGATGTGATTCTTATGAACAACAGTGTTTAGCTGTGTAGTGTGGAACATTTAATCTAAAGAGTGAATGCATAGATGTCATATAACAGACTGATCTTTCACCAGACCTTTGAATTTAAAATGGAAAACTTGGTACCAAATAACAGGTACTATTTAGGGCTATGAATCTGTTTAAAAGTTTGCTTTATTTTTTTAATGAAATTAATACTTTTAGCAAGAATGCATTAAATTGATCAAAAGTGAGAGTCAAGACATTTATAATGTTGTTATCATTTATAAAAATGTCTTTCCACAAAAATTATTAAGCAGCACAAACTTTTTCAACATTGGAAATGTTTCTTGAGCAGCAGATCAGCATATTAGAATGATTTCTGAAGGATCATGTGACACTGAGGACTGGCGTAATGATGCTGAAAATTCAGCTTTGCTGTCACAGGAATAAACTCCATTTTTAACATATACATTTTAAAATATATTCAGATAGAAAAACGTTATTATAAATTGTAATAATATTTCACAATATAACATTTTTACTGTATTTTTGATCAAATAAATGCAGCCTTTGTGAACATTAGACTTCTTTCAAAAGCTTTTAACAATATATACAGACTCCAAACTTTTGTTAAAAAATAAATAAATAATAATTAAAATAGATATTTTTAAAAATAGATTATTTTAGCTGATAATTATATATTTTTATAATTATATATTACGAATCATGTTGGAATAGTGTGAACTGAAGAATCATGCCCAATAAGAGCAGAAAGGTGTATGAAAGATTTAATTTAGGCTTTTATTCACATATAAACATTGATCAGCAAACATAAACAGAAGCTCAACCACACTTGAATGAACCTCATTGGTTCTCGTGTGTCAAACAAGCATGCTTGAGCTTCCGTGACCAAATTTGAATGCTGTAAACATTGTTAGCTGATTAGTGTTTATATGTGAATAAAAGCCTAAAATAAATCTATTCATCGTGTATAGCAATCCTGTCTCTTTAGAAGACTTGGATTAAACCATTCAATTCATATGGATTTATTTTTTGATCTTTTTAAAAATGCTTTGAAGAGTTTTGGATGAATAGACTCTCAATGGAGGGACAGAAATCTCTCAGATTTGATCAAAAAAATATCTCCATTTGTGTTCTGAAGAAGAATGATTTCTTACGGGTTTGGACCAACATAAAGGCATGAAATAACCCTTCAAGAAGGTCGGTTTTGAATTCAGGTGGTCTTCAAAGGTCAGTCGAAGGGGGATTAGTGTCTGAGAGGTCAAAGGTCAGTCTGATATACACATGTCTATGGGTGGATGAGGTCAAAGTTGCTGCATTACTTGGATCTGTGGCTGGTGCTGTTGCTGGAGCCTCGGGGACGGTAGGCTGGGCCCGGACCCCTCCAGACCACAACCCAGCTGGGACAGCACTACCACGGACAGAGGGGTGGGGTGGAGCAGGGGAGAGAGAAAGAACAGGGTGGGGAGGGAGGTAACAGGAAATAAAAGGTAGAATGTAGCAGAAAGAGGAAAAGTGGCATCCACCATCATGTTAATCAAATGACAAACAAAAAAAACAGGTCTAATTAACTTTGATTGATCTCTGTTGAGATTAGTATGACACACTACAAAATCTGAATTCATTAGTATGTCTACTCATTGTGTTAGTGTCTGTTAGAGATATCTGGACTAGAGATGTACTCGAATAACAGTGAGAGGAGTGGCAGAGAAATGAAACGCATGAGTCCGTACCTGCTGCCTGAGGAGACATGAATCCACCCACTCCGGTGAGATTGATGACTGCTGTCTGTTGTGCGGACAGACCCTGTTCTGCCGTCAGACCCGGATCAGCCTGATTCAAAGAGGACACCTGAATTACTTAAGTACTTCAGAACATATATACTATATATTCTTTAGCGTAGAATGAAACTGAAGATGGTTTGTGAGATTGCCAATGTCGAATTGCATTAAATAAAACCCTAAGTCAATATATATATTTAATTTAGAAACAAAATACTTGTACATAAATAAAAATGTAATATGTTAAAATTACCATGCACGCTGGTTTTTATATTTACAATATTTTATTTTGTCATTATATTCTAAATGTTATATAGTATAATATATTAATACAATATCTAAATTTTACAGTCATCTTGTATACAAAATACATTCAAGTTACCACTAGTTTTCCCAAAAACTTCCTTTATCTCCAACTGGTTGTATATAAATGAAATACAATTATATAATGAGCGTATAATTTAACTGAAATAAATTAAAATGATATCAAATTTTGAAAAAAAACTATACTATATAATAATAATTCTTAAAATATCTCAATTAAAACTACAACAAATTTTAACATTTTACTCTTTACATAAAAAAATTCATTCAAATTAAAAGTACTAGGGCTGTCAAAAAAAATTTGAATTTCGAATATTCGTCAAATTTAACATAAAAAAATTCATTCAAATTAAAAGTACTAGGGCTGTCAAAAAAAATTTGAATTTCGAATATTCGTCGAATTTAAAATAAAACTCCACATTCGAATGCAAAAACGTTGCATTCAAATTTTAGGTGTGTGTCAAGGAGGCAGCCTTATCAGTTGCACACGAGATGCGATGACGATGTAAGTGTCATTGCATTATAGTGTTTTTGTTAGCCTATCCAGTTGAAGCCACTAGATGCGGCGCTGCCGCATTGTTAATTACAAATATTGCGGGAAATGTGAACACCAATGAGGAGAAGATCTTGTTTACGTCAAAACTGAAACCAAGCCGTTCACACAGAACAAATATTTCGCGCATTTTCTAGAGGGACATCTATCACCATTGCACTCGCGTCTCGCACAAAAGAGCCGCATGTTTAGAAAGCCATGTAAAATTAATGCAAGTTTAACTTTGAAAAAACATATCTCGAGACTTTATGGCGGGGTTTTCTCCCCCATCCCACTGCAACTCGTGTTTTTAAATGAAAAAATGGAATCTGTGGGACTGGTTTTTGGCCCTTTGTATTAAACTATGAATACATACATGATGCTGTTTTGTTTATAGTTGTTTAAAAGCAACTTAATTAATTATAATTGGTTTATAAACATTTTAAACATTATGCACTTTTTTCACAGATAGTCATGTTATCTTATATGCTTTGAATAAACGTGCATTGGTGGATGCGCCCTCTTGTGGCATCAGGAGAGAAGCCAAAAGCTTTTCTTCACCCTAACTGAAATTATGCATTTTAAATTCAAATATAATTCGAATTTTGATAATATTTAAGTACAAAATTCTAATTTAGTTTTTCAGCCATTTTGACAGCCCTAAAAAGTACATAATTTCTATACCACTAGTTTTCCCAAACATATCTTTCATCTCTCTATCATCTGTATATAAATGTAATACAAGTATATAATGAAAATGTAATGTAATATAAACTGTTAAATATATTATTTAAAAAATATATATATTTTTTTCTCTAAATGTAATTTAATATAATATAGCTTTACATTTTAAATAAGACGAGTGATTCAGATTTACACACATTAAAGGAACAGTTCACCCAAAAATGAAAATTCTGTCATCATTTACCCTCAAGTTGTTCCAAACCTGTATGAGTTTCTTTCTTCTTTTGAGAATAAAAGAAGACATTTTAAAGAATGTTGGTAACCGAACAGTTGACAGTAGCCATTGACTTCCATGGAACAGAATTTTCATTTTTGGATGAACTATATTTTTAACACTCTTGGAGCTGATCCTCAGCCTCTGGAAATGACTAGAATCATGATAGCGGTGTCTGACTCACCGCCTCCCCCTGCTGCTGGGGGCTGGATGTGGTGGACTGACTGCTTTGCTGTTGAGGGGAGAACTGAGACAACTGCTGCTGCTGTAGAGAGTTAAAAATCAGTGGTCCCGTAGGGAGCTGAAAGAAAGGGAAACACAAACATAAATGGGAGGGAAAGAGAGAATCATCTCCACAAAAGCCAATACTTCAACTACAAAAGCTCTTTCACCTGAAGAAGGTTGAGCGGTCGCAGTCCCGGACTGTTGTTCAGGCCAAAAGGCCCACCTGCTGGAACAACATGATAATTTTACTCTCCACAATAGTGGCTGACAACTTGTAAAAGTCACTGGTGAACATCTGACAAAACTGGGAGGAATTCAAAGAGAGTTTACCTGCTGGAGCAGCAGGCTGCATGGCAGGAAGAGCTCCAGACATGAGACCACCAGAGGGCAATAGTCCACTCAGGGGTATACCAGACGCCAGAGTACCAGGACTACAACCCAGCATTGGGTTAGAACTCATCAGAGTCTGCGGACTGCTGTAAGAAACCACAAACAGAGGTGGTTAGTCACCTTTTTTTCCTTTCATATCCCCTAAAAAAGTCACAAACATGGGTTCTTACCAAACCGGGCCAACCACGTTGATGAAGTTGAGCCCTGCGGGGTTTGTCATGACCTGTGAAGATGTGGTGCTGGACGTGGGCAGGGGAATAGTCATGACAGGCAGGGTCATCTGCTGTTGGGCGAAGGGAGTCAGCAGGGTGGGCTGCTGTGGAAGGGCGGGGTCCTGAGGGGTGGGCGTTACTGAAGGCGTGGCACTCTGAATGTCGGCAGGGTGTGGCGTAGAACACGGCGTGTTGGTGGGTGTGGGTGTGGAGGGCTTGGGTGTACCTGATCCTTTGGAGTAAAATCAGAGGAAAAAGACAAAATACAGATCCGGCTAGCAAGCAATGCATTAGCAAGCGGTGACATCTTTCTATTTGTGAATGGAGTGATACTCACTCTGCATGGGCGAGAGAGCAGCAGGGGACAGCAGGCCAAGCTCCATGGAGTGTTTCCGGGACAGCGACTGATTCTTCGTAGGTGGAGGGGTCGGGCACTTGAGATGGCCGCTTGAGGCCTGTGTACTATACGGGTTACCTAGACAACAGGAGGGAGTGTTTGTTTGTACACTTTTTAAAGTGGAGAGAGACAAACATATTGAGATAGAAGAGAGGAAATGAGATTGAGACATGATGGAGGTCGGACCTGACCTACATTTATCTCAAAAACTGTTTTCAATGTTGGTAATAATAAGAACCATGTTTAATAACTGAGCACCAATAATAACTGATATAAAATGAACATTAAATCAGCACATTAGAATGACTTCTGAAGGATCATGTGACACTGAAGAATGGAGTAGTGACGCTGAAAATTCAGCTTTGCTATCACAGAAATAAATTACATTTGAAAATATATTCAAAGAGAAAAGTCTTTTTAAATTGTAATATTTCACAATATTACTGTTTTTACTGTATTTTACGTTATATATCAAAGTGTCTCACCTCGTTTTCCCTGGAGGGGGAGAGCTGGCCTTGGGACCCTGCGCTGCCTGAGTTGTGCAACATCTTCACCTGACACTTAACGTCCCGTTCATACACCTCCTTATACTGCGTCAGAAACCTGTGGCACAGGAGTATTTTTATGGCGGTTGAGCGCAACCAAGACCCAAAACAACAAATTATGGCTCCTGTACTTACCGATCAGCGTCTGTCTTTGAACCTATGAGGAATCTACAAACCACAGAGAAAATAAAAGATCAGGTAAGTGCAACAATTAGGCAAGCGTAACTAATAACACGTTACTCTCATCTTAGAATAGAGTCTAATGTAATACATAATGTGAATGTGAATAAATGTGAAATAAGTAATTGTAAAATGTACGGTGGGTGAATGAGGTGTAGGTCTGTGACATCCTCCTCTGATTTGGAGTCTTTGGCGCTGTAGATTTTCCCATAGACCTGTGGGTCCCCCATAGACTGGAAGATAGTGACTTTTGTTCTTTGAGGCTGACCTCCTACCTCACACTCAAAAATGTAATCGTCTCTCACGTCCTGTTCCAAGACAAAGACAGCATATCACACAGATAAAACAACAAAAATCTGTTTTTTTTTCTTACTAGCATATTATAGGGTCCATGTACAGTCTAGTTCCTATGTAAGATTTACACAATTGTGTTACCTGTGCAGGCCAAACAGTGGGCTGAGTGTCATCTAGTTTGACAGAGCTCTTAGCCACTGCATATTTCTCCACCTGGAAGCACAAAAAAAAACTTTGTTTCACAGATTTGGATACAGGAAAAAAAGTCCAAACATCCCATCTCAGAATACTGAAGGACACAATGTAACGTTTCCTGCTCTTGGTTGAAAAAATGATTTTCTTTTTAAATGCTGGTGTGCCAGACAGAGTTTCTGTTGTTTAATCAAACCAAACTTAGTCAAGTCAGTCTAAGTCAAGAAACATACAAAGGCCTGTGTAACTAAATAGCCACATACCCAGACCTACACCTACACCATTTTACAAATGGGAAAAAAACCTTCAACATAAAAAATAACATTGAACACAATAAATCCCCTTTTGCAGCTTTCAGATCAGTACATTCAAGGTTCAAAAGTTCATCAAATCAGACAAAACATAATAAATGCACAGAAAAGGAGAGCAAGCAGTTCATTAGAAATTGTCCATAGCATAAGCAATGTAGTCCAGCCAAGGACATATGGAATTTATCTTAACAATACTTTTAAAGTCATATTTCATTAAAAAAAAATATATTTCTGTTATAAATGGCTTTGGACCTACAGAAAAGAGAGAGATGCTACTTGTACGTTCATTTAACTGCATTACAGCAACTCACATCAATTTCTGATGGGACAGTCAGCTGAAAACTGCTCTGTTTCCACATGTCCACACACTGCAGGAAAAACAAGAGTCATTAAAACACAGAAAACAACCACACTACTCATACAAAAAAATAACAATTTTATTAACACAGTACTGTTCAAAAGTTTAATTGGTAAGATTTTTGAAAGACCCTTGTACTTAAGGCTACATCTAATTGATAAAAATACAGCAAATAAATAAATAAATAAAGTTTATGAAATATTACAATTTAAATAAAAAAATCTTAAATACATTTTTTTTAATCAATTTACTGTATCATTGCTGAATAAAAGTAATTTCTTTCAAAAACATATCTTCTTGATGCCAAATTTTTGAACAATGATGTACGTTTCACATTTGACCATGTTTAAATCCATTTACCCAAAATCAGAACAGAAATTAAAACAGTCTTCGACTCACATTTCCAGCTTTGGAGATCTTAAGGTCTATGGAAGGAGCAGGTTTCCTCTCTTTCCTCCTCTGCAGGTAGTCCAGGAGTCGGAGCTGTGGCAGTGCAGGGCAGTGGCTCATCATCTCCTGCTGTCTGTTGAGTGCTGCTTGAGAATGCCTCCTAAAACACCTGCAGAGAGGAGAAACATGACATCCATCAGCGTGGAATGATGGATAACTGATGTATGATGGATTTGATCACCTGCTTTTGAATTTCAGGATATCTCTGTATCAATACAGCGTTTTGAAGCCTTTAACTTTGATAAACCACACAAAATGGTCCTCTTATTTAGCTTTTCACAGAACAGAGGAATAGATTCTCGTCAGATTCTTGCACTCAACTTATACAGGCAAAAGAACTGTTTTTGTTAGCTGCATAGAGCGAAGACTAAACGTGTGTTGGTCAAAACCACTTACATTCCTTTAGTCACAACAATACAATGAGAGATCAGAACAGCAGCGGCTTTTCAGTTCACAGATGGTGACTAACCACAGACACAATAAAAGATCTACACTGTGCACATCAACATAAGCTCTGTGGGTTTCAGCAATTCCTTGGGTGCAAAATGTTTGCAGTCACAAACAATCACACGACACACTGAGCAGCAGACGACAGGAACTCATCAGAGACAGTTTGATTTAGTTTAAGGACAACTGATGATCAAGCAAAACACATATTTCACTGAAGCTAAAGAGTTAACTGCGTCACCGTTTCATGGATCGTGTGTTCATCTTCTGTTTGTTGTAGAGCAGACGGTTGGTGGTGCAGCTGACAGAGATGGAGGGGTCCAGACACAGAGGCTCTGCTGTGGCCAGAATCAACTGACTCTCCAGCTGAAGTTTATCATCCTGTAAACACATAAGAACCACATGAGAATCGATGCATCCTCTATACTTCACACTGTGCTGTGAATCTGTCACTTTAATGGTCGTTGTCAATCTACAGTACTTGTCAAAAGTTTAGAGTCAGTAAGATTATTCTAATAGAACTAATATTTTATTCAGCTAAGATGCATTAAATTGATCAAAAGTAACAGTAAAGACATTTATAAGTGGAAAAAAAAGACTTCTATTTAAAAAAAAATGTTGTTTTGGAATTTGTATTCATCGAATCCTCAAATGTTTCAGTTTCCACAAAAATATTAAGAAATACAACTGTTTTCAACATTGATAAGAAGTTAAGTTCTACCATGTGCTTTTGTAATTTTTATAATTTTTTCTTTTTCCATTTAGCTTTCTTTTATTTTATTTCAGTTTTAGTAATTATAGTATTTCAACTTAGTTAGGTGCCAAAGCAACATTTCTATTTTTTATTTTTTTTCCCTAAATTTTTATATTTCAGTTAATATTTATATCAGTGTTTCCCCTAGGTTTTCAGCTTTGGAGGGTGGGGTTCCGTTTTTTTCTCGTTTTAACTTTTCTGGACTCCTTTTTAATGGTTAAATTAAATTGTATTAATCAAAAAGCATGTCTAGCAAATTAAAACCATGAAACTTTAACAATTTAACATCAATTTATTGAAAGTTTAACAAAAATTACATGTTTAGGGCCCTATGAAATGTTTTATTTTTTCCAACCCTATGTTTTATTGTTACCAAATTCTGTTTTGCATGTCAAATTATTTGAAAGCATAAAAACAAGTTTCATTTATTCTTACAAAAGCCCTATGATTTTTTCCCCTACGAAATTCTGTGTTGTGTATTGCAATTTTTAAGGCATAAAACATTCATTTAATTGATCTTTTAATTAATGAAAATTAAACTAATTTTATTTTTTGGAAAATAAAGGGGATTTAATATTACAATTAAAAACATTGAAGAAATATTGTATGATTATCCCTTAAAAATAAGGTTTTAATAATTTTAGTAGTAGCCTATTACATACATTCTACTGAACAATAGTAATGCTGGCTATTTCTGCCACAATGACTTCAAGGTAAACCAAACTTTTATTTTGACGGGTTGCCGTGAATACCTTTACATTTTTGTGTGTATATGATATGATATGATAGTTTTACTCAAACGAAACGGTCAGATGCTCATGAAATGAATTTATGTCAGTTCATGTATTTATGTCCTCATTAGTGAGACGGCAGACGCTAATATCACCGGAAGCGTCACGCGCGCTTCAGTACAAGTAGTAAACAAAACCGCGCATCTGCGCCATTCATAACACAGAGACATGCAGAATTCATTTTTAAATAGTCTTTTTGCGGGCCGCCCCCCTAATATGATGGCAGGGGAAACACTGTATATTATTTCAGTTTTATTTCAATTAACGAAAACAATTTAATATTAGTTTTAGTAAACAATAACAACACTGTTCTGAACTTAATATAGTGCAGGTAGCATTTTCAACACTGATAATAATAATAAGCATTGCTTAAGCAGCAAATCAGCATATTAGAATTATTTCTGAAGGCTCATGTGACACTGAAGACTGAAATAATGGCTGCTGAAAAGTTATTTTATTATTAAAAGTTATTTTAAATTGTAATAATATTTCACAGTATTGCTTGATGAGCTTAAGAGACTTCTGTCAAAAATGTTTAAATAACTTTACTGACCTCAAAGTTTTGAATGCTAACAGAGAGTCCCCTCACCTGTGTCCACTTGTGGTGATCGCTTGTCATAGCATGAACGTCACAGATCAGGGTCTGGTGGGGAGATGATAGATGACTTAATAACAATACTATAGAAAAAAAGGTCTCTCAAAATACAGAACAGAGACTGCTGGTCACAGATCAGGTCTGTTATTGACCTGCATAGTGGGTCTCAGCAGGATGTGCCGGCTCTGGTAGGTGGGCATCTTTGCATTTCCAGACTGTCGATAGTCCCTGACCTCAGCTATGACACAGCCACAGTGGAATATGTTCACCTGACAGAACAGAAGCAGAAAAATAAATCTAGGCTTGTGGTTTATGCATCAGTTTGTCAGAGTGCTATAAAACTATACAGGCTGGAATTAAAGAAAAACATAGGTTAATTAAATTAAAATCACATCTAGAATCAATTCTGAACTAGTATTATTTTAGTATTAATTATTTACTGTAGTAGTGTTTATTAATATTTTAATTTAGCTTTTATTTTTATACTTCGATATAGCCATTTGTTACGTGCTTTTGTCAGTATTTTTATAGTTCTAATTAGCTTTATTTTATTTCAGTTTTAGTAATTTTAGTAATTCAACTTATTTTATTTTAGTCACTTGTCAAAGCAACATTTCTAATTTTCTATTAAGTATAAATATTTTATATCAGCTTTACCAAAAACAATTTAATAACAGTTTTAGTTAACAATAACACTTTTGTTCTGAATATTATTTAGGACAGGCTGTTTATAGATATAAATAAAATTATATAAAATATTTAAAATGTCATGGATAGTAGAAATTAGAAAAAGTGTCAAATTAAAAACAAAACAAAAAACAAAGAGGCTTCACATAAAAAAAATCTACATTTTTGTTCAGTTACGCCACTCACCTGTGATTTTTCTAGAAGGTCTACAAGAATGGGCGGCAGCTCCTCGGCATCCAGGTACTCCAGTAACTCGGTTTCTTCATAGCGAAGTCGGATTGTTTCTGAATCTTATAGGTTGGGATAAAAACATAAATTCAAGAGCGAGTTTTTTAACATGCAACATGAAAAGCTCAGCTGATTTAACCATAAAACAAAGAAAAAGCAGACAGTACCAGATCCATTTTTTCCTCTAAGCATAAGTGAGTATCCTTCATTTCCAGGGTACAGGTTGACCACCAGACATGAGACTGACTCCTGTGAGGCCAGCTTCTCTAGTAGATTCACATTTCTCCTCAGTTTCTATAGTAAGGTGGCAGAAAGGATAATAAATATATAATACAATAATAAGAAAACATGATTTAATAAAGTTATAAAATTCCACCCTACAGTTTTACCTCACTTAAAGGGGTCATATGATGCTTTTTTAAAGATCATTATTTTGTGTATTTGGTGTAACAGAATATGTTGACATGCTTTAATGTTCAAAAAACGTTATTTTTCAAATACTGTACATTATTGTAGGTCCTCTATGCCCCGCCTCTCTCAAACGCTTCGTTTTCTACAAAGTCCCTCCTTCCGACAAGCGCAGTCTGCTCTGATTGGCCAGCTGACCCAGTGCATTTTGATTGGCCGAACACCGCAAGCACTCGTCGGAAATCTAACGCCCCTTACCATAATCGCGGGCTTCATCTTTCAAAATAAATGTAAAGACGGAGCCTGGAAAGGGAACAGAGTCTCGTGACAGACACAGTGATGACGCTGGTATGTGTTTGCAGTACACAAGCCACGGTTAAGACAGCTGACTCCATTGTGATGTCTGTCTCTGTCTCTGTCTCTGTGTCTGTGTGTCTCTCTCTCTCTCTCTCTCTCACACACACACACACACAATGCACAAAACTCCGCATTTGAACAGTCAATAGCAAATACTTAAACTAATAACAAAACAGTAGCTGATTCAGAAGCGCCAGATTGTCATAGCAAAGTCAGAATTACCTCCTCTCCTAGGTTCACGAAAGGGTCGTCCATAAAATGCATTGCTGTTCTGTTGTAAGTAATCTTAAAGATTCCTAAATGCATCTACTTTCGGAAGGCCAAATAAAGTGCTTTTGCTTTCGCCTAGAAACACAGCGTCTCCCTGACATGACATCACCTCGCCTTCTTTCTTTGCGTGAACATTTGGGCGGCATTATGCAAATATTTCCACATAGTGACCTAGATATGTGGGGGCGTGTTAGAACGAGCCATTTTAGGGGGGCGTGGCAGAGTCTTAACTTTGATAAAGAATATCTCTTTGGTTTTGAGACTTTAGTCTTTGCAACTTCAGGGATCTTATCTATGCACAATCAGCTTGTAACACTCCAAAGAGAAAGGAAAACTTGAAATCGCATCATATGACCCCTTTAATGTCTTGTTTCGTTAAGAAATATATAAAATGATGGCAGTAAAGATGGTTGTGAATGCTACTTCATTTGTTATGCGTTACAACGGGTGAAAATTACCTTCAACTCTGGTTCTTTTTCACACTCTTCAATGTACAATTCATAAAGTTTCTGATATAAGGATTTCCTTCCACTTGAGGATAGCCGTCTCTTCAGCGGTCGCTGACGAGCACTTTCAACAATGTACTAAACAAGAAATAACAATGTTATGGAACGGTAATAGAATACACACAGGTATTCTTCTGCACAGTGATTTCTTAATTTACATTTTTAAAATAACAGTACATCATAATGGATACAAATAAACAACACTATGTACAATAAGTATAAAGTGCGCAACAAAAGAATACAGAAATAATAATTTTGAACAAATACCTCAGCCCGATCCAATGCATATTCTAAGACTTGTTGCTGTGGAAGAAAGATAAATGAAAATGCATAAGATAATCTCACATACTGTCCAAACAAGCCATCGAAAATGTCAAATATTATCAAATCAAATACATAATGTTAAATAAAACCCAATCCTGCTAAAAAGGCATCATTAAAACAAACCTGTAGTTCTTACCATTGTGGTTGCTGCGTGACAGGAGGCGATGTTGTGTTACACCAGCACTGTCACCTCCACAAACACACCATTCAAGCCCTGAGATCAGAGAGACAGTTCAGGAACACACTCCCGGGTGCATTTCCCTGTCAGCTGTCCGTTTCCATTCAAAACTCAACCCCAACGACAAGCGTATGAAGGCGAATACACAGAGTTTGAGACATGAACTCAGCTCAATCAGACTGTTATGCATCTGTGTGTATATGCAGTCACACCATCTGCGAAACAAATGTGGCGAACTTCAACAGGATGATGACAAAGTATGTGTTAGAGAATGCAATAGCGATAAATAGCAAGCATTCATGAAATGCAAGGGAATATGAGCCCAGCAGAAGAAGGCAAACTTCAGCACTGCAGCTTCAGCAAACGACAGGCTGGCTAACCACAGCTAACAGCTCACTTCAAATGCACAACTCCACAAAACACGACCAGCTGACAGAGCGGGGCAGAACAGGACAATGGCGACAAACATCAGAACCGACTTGCCAGTCGAGTTGCATCACCACAGACAAGAAATCCAAAGCAAGAAGCGGAATAAATGTTCCAGTGCCTTCAATGAAAAAAACTCACAGCAGCCATTTTAGTTCCAGTGTAACAACAAAATCCAAACTTCCGGTGTGCGCGCGTGCTGGAGGCGGAACCAAAGATGTACAGCGCGGAACCGCTCAAAAACTGCATTTCTGTTCGTGATGATATTGATATATCGCACAATACAAAACTTCAAAAAATAAACTATGATAGCCATAGTTTCCACCAAAATACCGTAGTCACTACAGATATTGTTACATCATTTCTTCTGTGACAGCTTGGTTTTAGCCTCCAATGTCATTAGAAAACAAAACGACAAACCTTCTGTGGGGGAGCAGTAATACATTTTTTACAGTAAAAATATGATTAACTGCAGTGTCTATCTTAGAAATAAATCAACAATTAAATTATCTGCAATAAATAAAGCATAGTAAATATATATATTTTTTACAGGTGGTTATAATATTGACAATATTTTCTTTGTATTGTTTTTACTGGAAGTTACCAAATAGGAATATAAATAAGAAATAGGAAGCATAAAGACAAAAAAAAGAAAGAAAGAAAAACGATTATCATCAGAGACTGAGAAGCAAGAGAAGATTTTTAGCGGAGAATGAATAAAACCGGGCCAGAAAGGGCCTAGAAACACAAAGGCAACCTCTTATGTTCTAGCTTAAACTGAATTGTTTTGCAATGTATTTGTGTATATGTTTTGTCTTTCAAATAATATTGGTATGTGATTAAGACTTGTATTGGTACAGTAACACTTGACAGTTACACATTACGTGTACTTACTATAGTTATAACAGTAAATTATGCATAATTACAACCAATCCTAGACCAAACCCTAACACTAACCTCAACCTTATAGTAAGTACATAAATGCGTAATTAGACTGTTACAATGTCACTTTAAATTAAAGAGTAAACCTTTTATCTTTTCAGTTTTCCAGCAAACCATTTATAATGCTGACAAGAGCAACTCCCCCCCCCCCCCCCCCCTTTCCCCCCAAATCAGAAAAGACAAACA